CCACCCCGCCGTGTCGGTGGGCATCCGCAGGGGCTCCAACGAGTCGGCAGCACCGCCGGTCCCTGCCGCCCCGCAGCCCGAGGCGGACAACCTGACGCTGCGGTACCGGTCGCTGGTGTACCAGCTGAACTTTGATCAGACGCTGAGGAATGTAGAGAAGGGTGGCACCTGGGCACCCCGGGAGCTGGTGCTGGTGGTCCAGGTGCACAACCGGCCCGAATACCTCCGACTGCTGCTGGACTCACTTCGAAAGGCCCAGGGCATCGACGACGTCCTCGTCATCTTTAGCCACGACTTCTGGTCTACAGAGATCAACCAGCTGATCGCTGGGGTGGATTTCTGTCCGGTTCTGCAGGTGTTCTTTCCTTTCAGCATTCAGTTGTACCCTAACGAGTTTCCAGGCAGTGACCCCAGAGATTGTCCCAGAGACCTGCAGAAGAATGCAGCTTTGAAATTGGGGTGCATTAATGCTGAGTATCCCGACTCTTTCGGCCATTATAGAGAGGCCAAATTCTCCCAAACCAAACATCATTGGTGGTGGAAGCTGCATTTTGTATGGGAACGGGTCAAAGTTCTTCAAGATTATGCTGGCCTTATACTTTTCCTAGAAGAAGACCACTACTTAGCCCCGGACTTTTACCATGTGTTCAAAAAGATGTGGAAATTGAAGCAGCAAGAGTGTCCGGAGTGTGATGTTCTTTCACTGGGGACCTATACTGCCAGTCGTAGTTTCTATGGCATTGCAGACAAAGTAGATGTAAAAACTTGGAAATCCACAGAGCACAATATGGGTTTAGCCTTGACCCGGGATGCATATCAGAAGCTGATTGAGTGCACAGACACTTTCTGTACTTATGATGATTATAACTGGGACTGGACTCTTCAATATTTGACTGTATCTTGTCTTCCAAAATACTGGAAAGTGCTGGTTCTTCAAGCTCCTAGGATTTTTCATGCTGGAGACTGTGGTATGCATCACAAGAAAACATGTAGGCCATCCACCCAGAGTGCCCAAATTGAGTCACTCTTAACTAATAACAAACAGTACATGTTTCCAGAAACTCTAATTATCAGTGAGAAGTTTACTATGGTAGCCGTTTCCCCACCTAGGAAAAATGGAGGGTGGGGTGATATTAGGGACCATGAACTCTGTAAAAGTTATAGAAGACTGCAGTGAAAAAAAATCAATTACAGAAGCAAAAGTGACAGTCTTCTATTTTTGATATTTGTCTCAACAGGATATACAATTGAATAATAAAGGGGTTTCTGCTTTAATACAAAAATTTTTTTTCTTGTAAAAGGTGTCCAAATATATAGTGATATTTTTCAGTTATGTCTGGTTAAGGTTTAAAAGTGAAGTTTTCATTTAGGGAGTTGGGTTTTGAAGCTCAATCTGTGTCTGCTAACGGTCATGATTCACCAGAGAGTTAAGGACTAATTTTATTTAAATTGCATCTGTTAATCTTTTATCTAAAACTTCGTACACTTTTCCACTTTCAAAACTTAAAGAACAGCAGAATTTAAAACTCAGCAGTAAAAAGTATTACAATTGAAATCTATTAGAGTATTAATGGAATAAGTCCAACTTCACTCGACATGGTTATTAGGGATTGCTTCAGTGGTTTAATAACAGCTATGTTTGTTAAACACCCTCTCAGAACAGTCATTTTCAGTATTATGGATTCCTGTACTGTTGTGTTAAGATTTGCCTGTGCTTTGGAAACTTCATAGAACACACTTTCTTTTGGAATGTATTTGATAAGAAATTTTAAACCTTGTTTTCACCTCAATGTAGAAATACAGTGTTTTTTTTTTCTTTTTAGTGCTGCCAAAATAAAATACTCATTTTTGCATAAAAAGGTTCCTAACTATTTTGCAGAAATGTTTTATTTACACCAAACTTCAAGACATTTTAGAAGTTTTGAACATCAGCATAGCATCTTAATATTTATTTACTATCGCTGGGGATTTAGCTCAATGGTTCCGCCACCTGCCTTGCAAGCACAAGGACCCAAGTTCGATCTCCGGGACCAAAAAGAAATATTTACTATCTATACATATATGAGTTTGAAATAAAACCCTATTCATGAGTCCATTCCCTGTGGGTTTCAAATTAGATAGGCATAGATAAGGAACAATAAAAAGCTGCTGTGTAAGGGAAAAACAGCCTGACTTGTTTGTGAAGACCAGAAATGATACAAAGTTCAGTAGTGCCAAAGTGCAATGTGTTCTAGTGCCAGCTTTAATTGAAATCATACTTTTAAGAGCAGATACAGTCTAGGCCAGCCTGAACTACATAGTGAGACTCTTGTCTTCTCAAAAACAAAACAAAACCAGGCATGGTCAGTGGTGCACACCTGTAATCCCAGCTGTTAGGCTGAGGCAGGAAGATTACCAAGTTTGAGGCCAGCCTGGACTACATAGCAAAACCCTATCTCAAAAAACAGAAACAACAACAACAAAAAAAACAGTAGATACAAGGACTGGGAATTTAGCTCAGTGGTACAACATTTGCCTAGTTACACTCCAGGCCCGGATTCAATTTTCAGCACCAAAGAGGGAGCAGTTAAAAAAAAAAAAGGTTTAAAATTACTTCATGTTTAATATAGAAGTCTCCCTTAATGTAACTGCATTCCACCAAAAATTATTCAGAAGACCAATTTCTGTGTAAAGATATCACTATTGGAATTTCAACCTAAGAAAATTTAAGACAGTCTCAACATTACTGATATATCAGTGTGGCCAGGCGCAGTGGGGCACGCCTGTAATCCCAGTACTTGGGAGGCTGAGGCAGGAGGATTGCTGTGAGTTCGAGACCAGCCTGGGCTACATAGTGAGTTCCAGGTCAGCCTCAACTACATAGTGAGACCCTGTATCAAAAAAAAAAAAGTGGTTGAAAAAAATGGATGTATTTTTCTAAGATGAGGCGAATAGTTCTCATCTTGAGATACCTTAATACTACCCCTACATTCCAATCTGGTGCTCCCGTTTTTGTCTGAGGTTATAAATTTAAATCAGAGGGAATCACCAGACTTTACCCCAGCTTTGGGTACCCTGACCTATCATCACCAGTTCAAATAACTGAAGAGATTAGGAGATTCCCAGGACCAAGCTAAGGCCTGTTGTCTAAAACTCTGCCCTTACCTGGGACAGAAATACTCAGGGGGTTTAGTGATTATTATTTTTTTACTATATTTTCTTTTAGGGTCAGGGATTTAGCTCAGTGTTTCCACCACCTGTCTCTAAAGCACAAGGACCTGAGTTTGATCCCTAGTACCAAAAAGAACTATATTTTCTTTCATTATGTCCTAAAAAGTTTTGAGGAAAGAAAAGAACTGGTTAAGTTTTCCTCTTTGCTTCGTATTTTGTGTTATAAAAGAAACACTATAAAACAAGTGGTTTTGTTTTGATGTAATAATACAGTTTTTCTATCAGAGCAAATAGCCTGTTTTACAATACTGTTGAGATTCTTAAATGTGTTCTATAAAACCAAAAGATCTTTTAATATATTTCAGTAGTGACTTCAAAAATTGAATTTTGGAAATCATTACTTTGACATCATATATGTACTTACATATATTTCTTTGTGTAACATGTAAAATAGAATTGATGCAGAACTACTGAATTTCATATAATTTGTAATCATTTAATCATTAATACTGATTAAAGTTCTTTTGCCTCTAACAAGCTGTCTTAAGCACAAATATATCATACTCAGAAACTAGTTCTGAAATTCCACTCCTGCATATTTCCAGATACTTCCAATCTTGAGAACTAGTTTGTGAGAAACACAACTTAGTGAATATTTATTTTGAAACTTTAATGATGAAAACAAAAATCAACATCAGAAGTCAATACAGGTTGTATTTACTCTCCATTAGAAAAAAACCTCAGAGTAATCATAAAACTTACATTAATTAAGGAAACTTTAAATTCTAAAGAAAAATAGCTCGTTTACCCACTGGAATTAAAATTGCAAATTTTAATTTATATTTTGTTGAATATCTTTACTTTTAATAGGTAAACTATTTTAGGTCCCCCAATTTTTTACTTTTAACATTCAAATTCCAAAATTTCATTGAATTAGTCCAAATCATACAGCAAAGAATTCTGAAAACTGAATGCACAATGAGTCACATGATCTTTAATAATTTGCACACTACCATCCTGCGTATTGATTTCTTTTAGGCTATCAAAATCAGTTGTATTGTGAATTACAGTTTTGCTCAGTGATGAAGATTGGTGACCTCCATCAAACTGTTTTCCTTCAGTTATGACGCGTTCCTTTAAATTATCTTCCTCATGTGAATAAGTAGCACTTTTTTCTTTTACAAATTGAGGTTCCATTTTTGCCTCAGGTGGCTGAGGTTTTCCTAGCTGCGCTGGAGAAACATCAAGTGGCTCTTGCTGAAAGCCTGCAACTGAACCACAAATATCTATATCTCGTGCTTTAACTGCTATAGACGAATCAGAATCAATTGCAGAGATGGGAAGATGTTCTATATTTTCATTTTCAGTTTGAGGACATCCTTCATTGATTCTTTTTTCCTTTCCTTGAAGCTGATCAGGATTACTACATTTTTGTAACTATCAAAGAAAAAATGAGATTAATAATTCTTTGCAATATCACATTCAATTGTACCATTGGAAAATGAGATTTTCTAAAAAGCTGTACGGTAATAACCTTTGCAGACCTGCAAATATGCTTCCATGCTTCCTCCTCAAAGTCATCTTCAAAATGCTGCCATTACTAACTATGCAAACCTTGTCTTAATTATGTGATTAAATCCCACCCCTCCTTGTCTCTTTCAGGGTGAAATAATCCAAGCTTTTTAACATGGTCTACAAAACCCTTTAACAGTCATTTTTAGAAGGACATGGCTAATTTCTTGATTTTTTTTTTTTTTTGTACCAGCGATTGAACTCAGGACCTTATGCTTGCGAGGCACACGGCAGAACCACTGAGTTAAATCCCCAGCCCCCATTCTTGAGCTTTTTTGAATTTCTGTGATTCTTCAGAACCATCTTTCCCATAGTTCAGGTATCAGTGGGGCTTATCACTGTTATGTTTGTGTCCAATACTTAAGAGTATAAAAATGATCAAGGGCTGGGGATTTAGCTCAGTGGCATGGCGCCTACCTCACAAATGCAAGGTCCAAGTTTGATTCCCAGTACCAAAAAACCAAACCAGCTGGGCGTGGTGGCACATGTCTATAATCCCAGAACTTGAGAGGCTGAGGCAGGAGGATCACTGTGAGTTTGAGACCAGCCTGGGCTACATAATGAGTTCCAGGTCAGTCTCAACTACATAGTGAGACCCTGATTCAAAAAACCAAAAAAAAAAAAAAAAAAAAAAAAAAAAAAAAAGAAAAAAAAAGCCCAAACCAAACCAAAACAGAAATGATCAAGGGCTGGGGATTTAGTTGAGTGGTGCTTGCAGTGCTTGCCTGGCAAGTACAAGGTCCTGAGTTCAATCTCTGGTACAAAAAAAAAAATTTTAAACTTAAGGCTTAACTGAAAAGAACAGACAAATTTTATTACATAATTGCCACGATTTAAACAAGGCATGGTGGCACACACATGTAACTAGTAGGCTGAGGCAAGAGAGTCTCTGTAAATTCAAAGCCAGCCTGGGCTTGCCGGGCATGGTGCCACATGCCTGTAATCCCAGCACTCAGGAGGCTGAGGCAGGAGGATCGCTGTGAGTTTGAGACCAGCCTGGGCTACATAGTGAGTTCCAGGTCAGTCTCAACTACATAGTGAGACCCCTTCTCAAACAAATAAACAAACAAACAAACAAAGCCTGGGCTCCACAGTGAGTTCAAGGCCAGCCTGAACTACATAGCATGACCTTGTCTCAAAAAAAAAAAAAAAGAAAAAAATGCTATGACTTGCAAGTCAAGAGACTTGTGTCTTCTTTGTGTGTATATGTATTCTAATGAGTGTTTAAGCATATAGAAATATGCAGACAAAAGTCTTTTTTCCTACATTCTACCCAGCCATGTACAGTATATTTTGTTTTAAAGTTATGACATTATGAAATGAAGAGTTAAGTTTTAACGTTGCCATTAGTCACTCCCCTAAAGGCCCACCAAAATCTTACCTTGGCATGAATTTGAATCTTCTCATCAGTAACCTGAAGAACTTCAATTACTGGTGGGGCTGGGGGCACTTTCTGTTTGAATGGAGGATTCAGGACCTCTTCAAGAAACTCACTAACATTTTCTTCACTGACAAATAACCTTTCCTAGAATAAAAAGGTAAAAAATATATTCTGCCTTGTAGGGCACACTTGACAGTTATATCTAAAAGTAGTTCACAAAAGCTCACAGAGTGCAGAGTAACACTTTTTTTTTTTGGTACTGGGGATCAAACTTGGGACCTTGCGCTTGTGAGGCAGGCAGTGGAACCAATGAGCTAAATCCCCAGCCCCAGTAACACTCTTTTTCTTTTTCTTTTTATTGAGTTTATTGGTACATTCTAGGTATACAGTACAGTTACATTCATTGCTAGGAACACTTTCTTAAATGTCGTTTTTTTGGTTTTTATGAGACAGGGTCTCCCTATGTACCTATGTAGTTCAGGCTGGTCTTGAACTCACTACATAACCTAAGCTGACTTTTAGAGACTCCTCTTGCCTAAACCTTCCAAGTGCTGGGATTACAAGCATATACTGCCACACTTAGCTACAATACTGATCTTAGCATTATTCCTATGTGTTGTCTTAGAGAAAGAAAATTTAATATTGCACAGAATACAAATTGTACCAAGTATGTGTGTATGTTTTTTTAAAATAAAAATTTAAAAAGCTCTGGTTCTTGTTCTAGGTCTATTAAACCTGAGGTATGTTTTCTCTTACCAGACAGTATTAACTTACAAATAGTAGTTTTCTTTTTTTTTCTTAATACTTCGTAGTATGAATAACTTCACTTCTAGGGAATTTTTTTTTCTTGGTACCAGGGATCAAACTCGGGCCCTTGTGCTTTCAAGGCAGGCGGCGGAACCACTAGCCAAACCCCTGGCAATAACTTCACTTCTACTATACACGTGTATTGGTCAGCTTTCTGTTGCCAGGACAAAATACCTGACACCTGCAACCTAGAGGAGGAGATGTTTATTTACCCCTCGCCCCCGTACTGGGGACCAAACACAGGACCTTGTACTTGGCAGGCAGCCGCAGCACCAATGAGCTAAATCCCCAGCCCTATTTTGGGTTTTTTGAGACAGGGTCTCACTTATGTAGTCCAGGCTGGCCTTGCGCTGGGGGCAATCCTCTCCCCTCTGTCTCCCTAGTACTGAAATTACAGGCCTGTGTCACACTAGGGCAGATGTTTATTCCATGGCTAGCCAGATCCAAGGTAGAAATATGGCACAAGGGAAAGTGGGAGGAAAGATGCTTAAGTCAAGACATCCAGAAAGCAGAGAGCAGAGGAATAGCCTAGGAGGAAGGGGCCAGAAACCAGAACAGTGCCCAACATCATGTCCCAATCACCCCCTACTACAACTACTCAGCCCATCCAGCCAGGAACTCATCAATAGCTTAACCCTGCAGCACAATCACCTCGCCCGGAGTCAAGCCCATAAACTTAACCATCACAAAATCCAACGCTGGCTATAAAATACAATTCAATTAGCCAGGTGTGGTGGGACATGCCTATCATCCCAGTACTCAGGAGGCTGAGGCAGAAGGATCACTGAGTTTGAGGCCATCCTGTACTACGCAGTGAGTTCAAAGCCAGTCTGAACTACAAAATGAGATCTTGTCTCAAAAAACAAAAAACAAAAACAGGGCCAGGATTTAGCTCAGTGGTTCCACTGCCTGCCTTGCAAGTGCAAGGTCCTGAGTTTGATCCCCAGTACCAAAAAAATAAAAATAAAATAAAATAAAATTCAGTTTTAGAATAAGTTCTAATGAGCCAGCTAAGAAATATGCAAAAGGATCTGTTCCAATATCGTGTAAACAATTTTCAGTTTTAGGCCATGTAAATAACATTTTATTTAAAAGAAGTATATTCAATGTTTAAGAACTGAGGCACTTCAGCATGACACTGATAATATAGTTGTTTATAAGAATGACACATTTCATGCCTGATGTTGGGGTACATGCCTGTAATCCCAGCACTCTGGAGGCTGAGGCAGGAAGATCTCAGCAAGTTTGAGGCCAGCCTGGAATACCTAGTGAGATCCTGTGTCAAAACAAAACAACAAAAAAGAATGAGGTAGATTTCAAGACACTGATATGCAAAGATTTCCAAACTATTAGAAGATTTAAAAATCATCTCATCTGAATCCCAAATAGCAGACAATGTGTTCGTATCATGTCTGGTGGCTATAGGTGTGTTGGAGGATGGGAAGGATAACCACACTTACCATTTTTTTCATAATTAACCATATTTAAAATTTCTTCATTGTTCTTTAATACAAGCAAATTTTATAATTACAAAATAAACATAGCTAATTATTTTATCCAAATAAGAGGAAATCAGAAGCAAGTTTCAAATTTTCTTCCGTTAAACAGTATTTGAATTTGTGAACACCCATCAAACAAAAGTGAACTTAGAAACAAAAACTTTCATTTAAACTAATTTGCCTTGCTATTATGTAAAGATCCAGAATACTGTATTACAAAAGTAACCCCATCAAAAGCATTTCTAAGGTTTATGCTTCTGAAAAAGACATTCATATTGCCTCACTGTACCACATACTTTTTAGTTAACTCAAGAAAAATATTTATAACAAATAGTTCTAATTAAATGCAGACTATTTACATAAACTTTTCTTCTCATTCTATTGACTTTACTGTATTCTATTGATTTTACTGTAAATTTCTGAACTTACTGGTCCTGAAGCTCAAGGAAAACTCTCAGTAAATATTTAAGGCTTACATATATATCTTTAACATATATTTGTATGTAAAATAACAATTCTGGTCTTCAGAACCACAAAAGTCTCTCTACATTATTTTCATATAATGCACATAATAATATAATCATTATATGTCTCTCACTGCCCAGATTTGGAATTGAACCCAAGCCCTTCATGCTGTTACTTCTCAGAATGACCAGGTCTCACTAAGTTGCACAGGCAGGACTCAAAGTTTTGATCATTCAGCCCTAGGTTCCCAGTTAACATGTCCAGTTATTATTTTTAGCCAGACCTGGTGACATATACCTGTTATTCCAGCACTTGTTGAACTCACTATGTATAGTCCAGACTGGCTTTGAATTCAGTGATCCTTCTGCCTCAGCCTCAATGTTGAGATTACAGGTATGTGCCACCAAAATTATCCTAAAATATATTTTTTCTTTTGGTTGAGACAGGGTTTAGCTATGTAATTCAGGCTGGCCTTGAACTCACTACACAGCCAGGGCTGGATTCAAACTCAAAGGGATCCTCCTGCCTCAGCCTTCTGAGTGCTGGGATTACAGGTGTGCACCACCACGCCCAGCTAAAATATATTCTTGAATATTCTCTTAACTGCTTGTCCATAGTTTTCTGCTCACACTGTGTCATCTTCATATCTATTAAGACACAGGACAACAACTGCCTTTTCCTCAATTTACACACAGTAAACTACATAATCCTCGGCCCACTTCTACTGTTTGCCCAAAACTGAAGAATATGTAAGTGCTGTTCAATTCAACAAAGAGTTAAATGCTAGCACTGGGCTAAATACTAATAGGGTCCTAAGAATTATTTTAAAAGACTCAGCTGCGTGTTGTGGCACAAGCCTGTATTCACAATTTTCTGGGAGGATGAGGCAGGAGAGTAACATTCAAGCCCAGAAGGAGACTCTCAAAATGAAAGGAGAGGAGGGATGTCTAAGGATGTAGCTCAGTGTGAACTCCCTAGGTTCAACCCCCAGGATGAGAGCACCTGTCAGAGAACAACATTAGCAACTACAATTAAGCTGCATAATAGGGTGGAAATGGCATGGAATTTAGACTGACACTGGGTCTGAGGTTTCTCACATAAGAACTGTGTGGCAAGAGTTGAGTTACAAATTATTACTTTCTCAACTCAGAAAAAGTAATTTTTGAGTTGGCCACTTTGATGCGTTTCTTAAACTTATCACAAATCCCTTTCATGATATGAGCAGTTATAGTGTCCTTTTCTCCAGGGGAAAACACCCTCAACTTTGCCATACAATCCCATAAATCTACGAATCAGAGAATCTACTCTGCGCCTTGATTAGGATAAACGGAGGGTGACTGTAACAGCAAAAAAAATTTTTTTTGGTACCGGGCATCGAACTTGAGAACTTGTGCTTGCAAGGCAGGCGGTGCCACCACTGAGCTAAATCCCCGGCCCTGTAACAGCAAATTTATAAACTGACATGGAATATTTCAAGTATTAAGACTCTAGAAAGAACAATTACCTCCAAAGAATCGCTGTTTAAACCACAGAACCACTCTCGCCAATGTCCACGGCTCCCTGGAGCTTTGGCCAGCAGTACCACTGCATTGTCTGAAGAAACATTAATCTCGGGTTCTTTGGTACTCAACTTATTCTCTGGAGCAAACTCCAAGTGGAAGGAATACGCTAAGTCTTGAGTGGAGAAGTTCAATTTGTACCGGAGGGGGTTCAGATCTCCTTGAAGGCTTTGTGGCTGAACCCCCGGCACTTGAACTAGCAGCGTCAGGGAGTCTTCGTCCTGACTGCATCGCAGAGGAGGGCACGAAGGTTCCCCGCTCGCGGTCGCCGGGCCTGCCATGGCTCGGTCGGACTGCGGGCCGCCCGCGCCTTCGCTTCCTGCCGGAGACTCCCAACCAGCGCCCCGGGATGAAGCACAAGGGGAGCCTCCCCCTGAGTCCTCAGAGGAGCTCCCTAGATAAGGCTGCTCCTTCTGCCCACCCTGGGGCGAGCAAGAGGACGCACCCACGCCCAGCTCCACAGAATCTGGGACCAGCTCTTCCCCGGCTCCAGGAGCCGAGCTCCTCAAGTCACTTCCGGGCGCGCCCG